CCCCTTTCCTTTCGTTATTTTTTACTTTCATACTTATCGAGTAGGTTTAATTCAGATTTAAAAATCATTTATGTTTAATGTTCATATTTAAAAAAAATATGTGGCTCTACCACATCATATTTGTCATTCCATTCTGCAATCCTATTATGGTGAAACTTTATATGTTTGTATAGAGAAATGCAACGGAGTGGCCATAAAACTCGAGAGAAGAGAAGAAAGGATTTCGGGTGGAAGCTCGTATTGGCAAACGCAGTGTTTGGCGACTCCCCACAAGATGGAGTGACCAGAACACGCGGAAAGTAGATGAATGCAGGTGGTTTGCAATCGTAATTTGAGGCAAATTTAGGAGAATCCTATGTTGAGAGAAGGACTTCTTATGGGCTGTAATTAATTAATAGAAAAATTATCTACGTTTAATTGTAAAATTATAATAAACGAACTTGAACGAGAACGGACGAGATAACGAACAAAAACTTTTATTTAATTTATTCGAAATGAACTTAATTATCTTCCTATTATATTTTTTAAGCTTCGAGAGTAAAAATTATCATCATTTGACAGGTTTTAGTTTAATAACAAAATGAAAATTCCACTGAGAATATTACTTATCAAAACATTTTAACCTATGTCGAATAAAAATTATTTTATACCATTCTGTTTTATTAAACTCAGTGAGTTTTTAAATACTAATTACTAAAACATTTCTTTCAAAAAGAATAAATATAAATATAAGCTTCATTTCATTACCAAATAAATAAAGTTACTTATCGAAGCGTTAATTAAAATGGTAATTATTTTCATATTTGTATATCAAAGTCCACTTAATATTTCAAAGAGATGGATAGAGATTTTTTAAATGTAATTAAAACATGAATTTTTGAGACTTTATTATTATTATCATCATTATAGACAATCGTAAGTCCACTGCTGAACATAGGCCGCCTACAAAGATTGCTCCAAAGTACGGTCCTGAGCCACCTGCATCCAACCTGCGCGTTTCATCAGCTCATCACTCCATCTAGTTGGAAGTCGCCCGTCTGTGCTTTCCAGTACAAGGCTGTCCTACGAGAACATTTTTCTCCATCTGTTGTCGGTTACGGTCAGCTTGCTAATCCTTTGCTATTTATGTGTATAATCTATGTACTGATTCAATTCAACTACTGCGAGACTAAAAAGCATATTTAGTAGCCTGAACCAGCCATGAAAATAAGTAGAATATTTTTTTAAAACAAAACTAATATTTTGTAAAGAGGTTGTTTATCATAATTTATAACGTAGTTAGGTATATAAAGAGCATTGTAGAACAAATTTGGCGAACCCGTAGCAGATAAATAGATATTTTTTATATTATTATCATTATCCTGCATATTATTTTATAATGTTACTAATTATGATATCTTTTGTAGATAAAGAGGTGTTTGAAATTTATATAATCCTTGCAGACATAAGAGCAGGCCTGTGGTCAAGAGGGAGACGCATATAGACTTAACTTTTTTAAAATAGGTTTGTGAGTCTCATCTGTATTAAAAACTTTACGTATATTAAAAAGGCATATTGTTTACATATAACATCTACCTTTTTTAAAAGTCAATTAAGGATATAGTTGCGAGATTTACTTCTCTTTAATTATTTATTATTAAACAGCTGAAAGGCCTGCCTTGTATCAGATGCAGCTGTAATAATTAAAAAGACTAATCGTACTAACATCTCCAAATACAGATAAAGATATCTCCAGGTATACCTGAAAATTTGAAAACGAGATTATACAACCAGTGCGTGTTGTCAGTGACGACTTATAGATCTGAGACGTCGTCCTTCACTGTTAGCCGTATGAAGAAGCTCAAGACGAACTGCTAAGAGTGCTAAGGTGGCGCAAGACCTTGCTTTGTAACCTTCTATGTTGAAAGCCTGTGTTCAGTAGTGGACTTATGAAAGGCTGTGATGATGATTGTCATGATCTTTTTAGTAAGCTTACTCGTATAATTTCTATATGCAAAATCAAAATTTCAAATTCATGAAAAATATGAATATAACTGAAGTGACAAATGTACTAAAAGTCCATATGATTGTAAGTCGCTAATACAGACCATGGACACATGCAGTCCAATCCAAACAAATGAGGCTATAGGTGCGCTGTTACTTCAGAGCACTAAGATGGAATGCCTCACAGCCTGTAAGGAAGAATTATAATGGCTTTCTTTACCCTTCAGACCGGAAATCAGTAATGAAGGATCTTCTATTTGACGACGGAAATAGGTATTCTCTAGCCTGCACTACTAGCATAACTAGCCTCACAAGCACTGTCTCGAGCCAGCCTCATCATGCCTGTTTCTTAAACAGTCTACGGATATCAGTACATCGATTGGAGTAACGTTCTGCATTAATTTTTCCGGTGTAAGAAACGTTTTTTACAGAAAAAGGGTGAAAAATGAACACTCACTTCACCTGATGGTAAGTCGATGCTGTGGCCCATAGACATCGACATTATTCCCAAATAAGAAACAAAACGTAGAAGCGTTATCACTGCTGAGGACTAAGATGGAGAGTCTCCGGTCTCTGGTTCTCTACACTCACCATACAAAACACACTAGCAAAATGATTACGCTGGTTTGCGCTGGTATTTTGTAAAACCGTGGTACTTCCCTAATCTGGCCGATCCACTCGTTTTACAACCATAATCTAGCTGTAGCGTGGCTCTACCATGTGTAGACTAAAAATCTAAAATCTTACCTCAAATTAAAAACATTGTTTATATTTGTTAACAATGCTTATTCCGGCATCAACAACAATATAACTGTAAACTATATTAAGTAAAAGCCAACTCAGCAGTGTGGAAAAACCAGCGGAATAGCCGCACTTAACACTTCGTTCGATATCTACGCAATGTTTTCAATTTACAGTTAATCTGTGTTCGGTTGACTTGCTATAGATGATGTTATTGGCAATTTCATTTTAATTATATTCATTTGAAAATAATGCAGTGTGTACTTTTGTGTATGTTTTGTTAGCTTAATCGCTGATCGAAGGATTATTAGATAACGTTTTCGTCAACGTCAATATTTTAATTAACTTACCACAACGTGGACTGTGTACTCGTTTCTCAACTATAATTCTATAAAAAAGGTTTGATTACATTTTACAAGACTAACTTTTTGGTCAATAGAGCCGTGGTTGAGATTAAGGCTCGTTATTAATTTGATAAAATACGAGCAATTACAATTCGATCTTTATAGTCACCAACAACGTCACGATTTGTTTTTACCGCCATGGTAAGTCAGAGCTAAAAATTTCGAATAACAATTTAATTGATGCCACTGGAGATCAATCTCGGGTTGTTCGCGTACTGTGAGATTTATAGCAAGCGCTTAGTCCCTGAGCTTCCACGGCATTATTAACACGCTTTTATTTGTGTGTGAGTTACATTCATTAATAGAATTTTATAATTCGGTTTACACCCACTTCCAGACGCCTAAATAATCTCTTAATTTTCAGGCGTATTAAGAACTAAAGATTTATCAACAATTTCATGAATTTTATCTATAATTCTTACTAGAATAATAGTTAAAATTCATGATCATGATTTTACTATTTTTATTAAGAAAGAAATAAAGAAATGCAAGCAAGTTCAAGCAAGCAGCACAAAATATAAAAAAATCACATTATAAATTTAAAAAATACACTTAAAACACTGCGCTGCAGAATGAAACTGCAAATTATAGGACCTGTTCCAGTTATACCACTGGTATCAGTCCGACCCATATCCTGAGGCAATTCGGGCGGCTGAGTGCACGTTTACTCTTCATATCCGAACAAAAGAGGGAAAACGAGCGTGAGGCTCACCTGATGTTAAGTATTGACTGCCCCCATGAACACTAGGGAAATTGCAGATGTATTGCCGGCTTTTAAGAAAAGAATAGGGTCTTTTCTTGAAAGTCCCTGTGTCGTATCGGTACGGAAAAATCACCAGTGGTAGTCGATTCCACGAGAAAGTTGTGCGAGGAAGAAAACGTCTTGTACATTGCACAATGGTGGACTGGCAATAAATCAAATGGAACGGATGGTTTCTCAAGTTCTCGCGAAACCATCCATTCCATTTCGAGTCGAGATGTGCGTTCGTGACATGCTGCATGCATGTGTTCATGCCTGGAATTAGCCCGAACAATTTCTCAGTTCATTCCCTGTGGTAGATGCGATAAAATACGCAAATATATGTAACAGATCTTCGCAGTGTCACTGAGTCAAGCCAATCAGAAAGAGCTCGGTTGCCGACAACTCGAATCGTTGGCGACCGAGCTCCTTCAATAGTAATCCATATGAGGCCGAACCTGCGCCTTGTAAAGTTGCACACGGTACACGTCATGAAACAGTTAAGCTCTGCAGAATACGTCAAGCTTTTTAGTTGCTAATTTGGCCTTTTCTTCCAAGCAACCACGAAACTTCACGTAATTCAATATGTCGACGCCAAGAATTCTTATACTGGCTTACACAACAAGGGGAGTTTCCTGAAACTGAAGTAATCCAACGGAGGGGTTCTTTATAACGGTAACGATCTGGTAAGACGTGCAGGAAGTCAACGTATGCAAGTGGCTCAAGACCGTGCTTTGTGGCTTTTCTTGAAGGAGGCCTATATTCAGCAGTGGACTTGCGAAGGGCTGTATTGATAATAATGATGATGATGCTTATAATAAATACGTTTTAAAATGCAATTTTATGTATGATACTTCATATTAATGCTTTTTGTGCATTTCTTGGAGGAGGCCTATTTTAAGTAATAGACTTGTGAAGGGCTGTAATGACGACGATGATGATGGTGAAGTTTATGTATGTGTATTTAAATTATTATGTTTCAAATCTACATAATCAATCTATCACAACATACTTTTATCTCTGCGTCAACCAACGGTTGACTGGTAGAAAATGTATCAGGCTTTAAATCCACCTATACAGCATGTATGTAGTTAAATAAATAAATAAAACGGTTACACAAGCTAAGTACTTACAATAGTTGTTGGGTATGAGATCCGGTTCCGCGTCGTCGTGTTCCGCTTTATCGGTGCGCGGGGCGAGCGGCTTCGTGGGTGGCTTCACGGGGTGCGCGCGGCGGCGGCGGGCGGCGCGACACGCGCACGCAAGCAGCGCCAGCGCCGCGCCCGCCCCCGCCGCGCCTGCGCTCGCAGCACCCGCTGCGCCCGCTCCCAAAGCGCTCTCCGATGCTGCAACAACACTTCGTATTAACTCCGTCATCAACTACTGAACATAATGTTCTCCAGACCGAGTTTCCCAGCCTGTCTCAACAGAGACTATCCATCTGCGCAGAACAGGATTTTAGCGCCCGAGTGTATATGTGAACACACTTACTCTCTATTGCCTCATTCGATTGTGATGAAACTTTACGAACAGATATTGATGATTGCTAGGAGTAATCAAGGCTATATTTTATCAAAAAAATATAAAGAGTATTAGCCAAAATATGTTCAGTAATTATTGTCCAAATTTGAAAAAAAGGTAAAATATCAAGTAACATTATTGAAATTTCATATAAATGGAGCAACGTAACCCTAGTCATAAAACGATCCCTTTATTTGATTTGTTGCGAGTAACCTTCATAATATATCTGACACTCGACATGCGGCCCGTGCGCTTTTATGTTTGATTATATTTTCGGTAAATGGATTTTGTTTTAATACGACAAGAAAACGAACGTATTATTACTTTTTATTGGGTTATCGTGTTTGGTAAAATACGTATAAATAAGTAGGGTAACAGGTATAAATCTGTATTTATAACTGTTACTCTTTAGAGCCTTTTGATCAGTCAATGTGGATAAAACTCTTTTGTAAATATCAAAAACAACAAGTCAAGCCTATTGTAACAGCTATTATGACTTTAAAAATATAATTATAAAAGAACTAAATAAAAATAAAAAAAAAATAAAGAAGAATTTTAGAGGTGGTAGAGCCATGCTGCAGTTATATTAGTAGTATAGTTGTAGCACGATTGGGTCGGCTCGACCGGGTAAGGACCACGCTCTCACAGAATACCAGCGTCAAAAAGTAGCTTAATGCTACTGTGTTTGGTATGGTGAATGTAGAGGACCGCAGACCCTTTTTACTGGAAACGAGGCATTCCACCTAAGTCCTCACGGATGACAACGCTACTGCATTTTGATTCGTAATCGAGGATAGATGTAGATATATATGGGCCACAGCAACCACTTACCATCAGGTGAACTGTGTGCTCGTTTGACATCCTATCCTATAAAAAAGAAGGAAATATTATTTCCTCCAGACCGAATTTCGGTCACAGAGTTCACTGTTAATGAAGACTAGCCAACTGCGCAGGATAATGATTGAAGTGCCCGGGAGCATGTGGAAGCACAGATGAAATCAGACTTAACCGGATAGAGACCAGGGGGACAAGATTTTTAGTCATGAAATGGAATGTGGTTTGCTTAATGGGTGTGTCAAGTTAAAAATAGGAATAGATATCTAATCCACGTTCCTTTTTTGGCTTTAAGCCTTCGTTTTTTCCCTCGACTATCCGATGATTTCTTTAGCAGAGCTTACAGTGTTATTCTCGACCATTTTTTCTTACAATTTTAATTTAAATATTTCAATGGACTTACTTTAATTGAGAGTTTTCTGCTTTTGATAGCTTAGGCCCGATAATTTAATTATGCGTTCATCACTTGCAAATCCACCTTTAGTAATATGAAAATAATGGTCCATTTATTGGTCCTTGCTCTAGCTACACACTGCCAGTAATCAATCCACTAAGTTAACGTCTCCCATATTTCTACATTATCATTAACATTTTCCCTATACTTACGAAGTTCCTCAGTGTGGTCGCTTTCATCACCTCTACTTGAGGATAACGATCGATATTTAATGGCATTTATTTTTACCTTCATATAGAGCACCCGATATATTTAAAACTCTAAAATGCATTTATTTCTTATACTATCTGAACAGAATATAGATAATAAAAACGTAATAAAAATAAAAACGAAAAAATGTATTGTAACTGAAATCGAATGACCTCTGATAAGGACATAAACTTAAATGGCAATTTAAAAACATGTTTTGCAACTGTAATAAAAAAGACATGTTTATATTATAAAGGGTTTTTCTCTATATAACTGTTATATATTAAAAATATATAGTTATGTTACAGTAGTATGTATACAGTGGTAGAGCCACGCGGCAGCTTTGCTGTCGCACGTATGGGCCGGCTCAAACCGGGGTGGTACCACGACCTCACAGAATACCGGCGTGAAGTGGAAGCTCTGCTTCCGCGTTTCGTCTGGTGAGTGCAGGTGGCCGGAGGCCCAAATCCCCCCCCCCCCATCAACATGGTAGCGGAATTAAATGATAGACTACCCCAGGAGGGTACCAGCACCCCCTGGAGAATCCCTCGCTGAGCATCCACGACCATGTTTCTCCACTTCTGAGCGTGGGTGCTCAGGCTGCCCCGCGTATTCTGGGGGGGGCAATATTCCGCTCAAGGCTAAAACTGCTCGCGGCAAACGGAGCAACAAGACCAAGGCGACCCCTGCCACGCTGTCCGTGAATTTCTGCAATATCAGGGGACTTCACTCTAACCTAAACGCCGTCCACTACCATCTCGAGACGGCGAGGCCGGCTCTGCTCTTTCTGACCGAGACGCAGGTGTCCTCTCCGGCTGATGTCTCGTATCTCTCCTACCCGGGGTACAAACTGGAACACTCCTTTGTGCCTCGGGCTGGAGTTTGCGTTTACGTCAGAGAGGACATCTGTTCTCGACGCCTCGGCAGACTTGAAGGTTCGGACCTGTCCATCCTTTGGCTACGCGTAGACAGCGACGACCATCCGCGCGTCTACGGGTGCCTCTATAGGTCCCATAGCGGTAATGCCGAAACAGACCGACTCTTCGACCACGTCCAAATGGCTGCAGATTCGTTGCTACAGCAGATCCCCTCCGCAGAGATCGTGATCCTCGGCGACTTCAACGCCCATCACGCCGAATGGCTCGGTTCACGTTTAACCGATCATGCGGGGAGATCTGTTCGTGATTTTGCCTTGGCATATGGTCTGACACAACTGGTTACTTCGCCTACGCGGATTCCAGATGTGGAGGATCATGCACCTTCCCTGTTGGACCTTCTGCTGACCTCTCACCCGGACGGATATCAGATTTCCGTCGACGCCCCTTTAGGCTCCTCGGATCATTGTCTTGTCCGGAGTGTGGTGCCACTCACGCTGAAATCGCGGTTGCATTCTGCAGGCTGCCGCCGTGTTTGGCACTATAGGTCAGCTGATTGGGATGGGATGCGGTCTTTCTTTGCATCCTTCCCTTGGGGGCGGGTTTGCTTCTCGCCGGATGATCCCAACGTTGTTGCGGATTCTGTCGCTGATGTGGTACTTCAGGGTATGGAACTTTTTATTCCTTCCTCTGTGGTGCCCATTGGAGGCAAATCTCAGCCATGGTTTGGTCGCTCCTGTAAAATAGCATCATGCTATAAGCAGGAGTGCTACCAAGCCTGGGCTGACGCATCAGCGTCCAGGGATGTAAACACCAGCGCTCTAAAAAAGAAGTATAATTCCGCCTCTAGGTCCTTCAAAAGAGTCATTGCCAAGGCAAAGTCAGAGCACATAGGCAAAATTGGCGAGAGACTAGTTCGTCTTCCTTCTGGAACCCGTGCATTCTGGTCTCTCGCCAAGGCTGTCCAGGGGAATTTCTGTCAGCCATCTCTTCCATCTCTGCACAGGGAGGACGACTCACTGGCTCACACCGCAAAGGAGAAAGCCGATCTTCTAGGCTCTTTCTTTGCGTCTAACTCGACTCTCGATGACGGGGGAGTACGCCGCCGACCATCCCGCGGTGTGAGTGCTCCATGCCGGAAGTGCACTTCACTCAGCGCTCGGTTCGCAAAGCACTCCTCTCCCTGGACATCCATAAGTCGAGTGGGCCTGATGGAATCCCCCCAATTGTGCTGAGGACGTGTGCTCCAGAGTTGGCACCGGTTTTAACGCGTCTTTTCCGGTACTCCTACTCCCTAGGCGTAGTCCCAAAATCATGGAAGACGGCTTTCGTCCACCCGATCCCTAAAAAAGGCGACCGCTCAGACCCGTCCAACTACCGGCCTATCGCCATCACCTCCTTGTTCTCCAAAACAATGGAGTCCATTGTAAACTGCCAGCTCATGAGGTACCTTGAGGATCACCAGCTGATTAGTGACCGCCAATACGGTTTTCGCCGTGGTAGGTCAGCTGGTGATCTTCTGGTCTACCTAACTCACAGATGGGCGGAGGCAGTAGAGTCCAAGGGGGGAGGCATTGGCCGTTAGTTTGGACATTGCGAAGGCCTTCGATCGGGTTTGGCACAAAGCGCTTCTTTCGAAGCTCCCCTTCCTATGGGCTTCCCGAGAAATTGTGCGATTGGATCACCAGTTTTCTTGCAGATCGGAGCATCAAGGTCGTTGTAGACGGTGCAAGCTCCGATTGCAAGCTTATTAATGCTGGTGTTCCACAGGGCTGCGTGCTATCGCCAACGCTGTTTCTTCTGCATATCAATGATATGTTGCAAACCCGTAGCATTCATTGCTATGCAGATGACAGCACTGGTGATGCTCTTTACACCGGCCGAGCAAATATTTCTCGGGAAAACGTCTCTGAGTGCCGGGACAAACTTGTGTCTGAAGTCGAGTCTCTGCTGGACAGAGTCTCGGATTGGGGGCGACTAAATCTAGTCCAGTTTAACCCCCAGAAGACACAAGTTTGCGCGTTAACCGCTAAAAAGAACCGTACCGTTTGTCGTATCCCCTCAGTTTCAAGGCACTCCCCTTGTTGCCTCAGCCAGTATCGGAATCCTCGGCGTCGACATATCGAGTGACGTGCAGTTTCGTGGTCACTTGGAAGGGAAGGCCAAATTGGCCTCTAAAAAGCTTGGCGTGCTCAGCAGAGCGGGACAGTATTTCATGCCGGCACACCGCCTGCAACTTTACAAGGCGCAGGTTCGGCCGCTCATGGAATACTGTTCCCATCTCTGGGCTGGGGCTCCCCAGTACCAGCTCCTTCCACTTGACCGCATCCAGCGCAGAGCGGCTCGAATCGTCGACGACCGAGTGCTTTCCGATCGGCTCGATTCACTGGCGCTGCGAAGAGATGTTGCATCTCTTTGCGTATTTTATCGCATCTATCACGGGGGAGTGCTCTGAGGAATTGTTCGGATTAAT